AGTGCTGCATAACCCATACACCTTTGGTTTAGGTTATCTGCCTACCAAAGAGGATTAGGTCAGGAAAGGAAAAGAGATGGGCGGAAGAGCCAGAGCCAAGTAGGCCGGGAAGCATTATGAGTTGATGCACAGACCTATCCAGGGTACTCTGAACGGACATTTCGTTCAAGAGGGGGAAGACTTTCTATTCCGTGGCTTCCCAGAACCATGGATAAATGCAAAAAGGTGGCGCTTGCCGGGGTTCGAGATTTTCTTTGACTTGCAATTGTCCGGGGATGATGTTGCCGAAGCGCAGACAGACCCAACAGCTGAGGCTGAGCAATGCAAGGTGGAGAATTTCGAGAGCACAAAGGTTGAAATGGGGGTAGCACTGGCTTGCCTTCTCTAAGATCCTCCGATCGTACAAGAGTACTTGGGGGATAACTTCTCAGTGTCCATGATCGAGAATGAAGCTGCTGTGAGCCCATCTTCAAACATTCTGGATGCATCCATCACACCCTCTCTCGTCTGGCAATACGAGGAGGGCTTTTTATCGAGCAGCATCGAGTCAGGTAGTGAGCCGGAATCTGATTCCATTGAGTCTGTGGAGTCGGAATCAGGCTCCAGCTCGTCTAAGTCGGAGTCCGGTATTCTTGGGGGTGACAACCCGGATGGCACTGTCCTGTCCAAGTCGTCTTTTTCATTTTCCTTTGAGTCTATTGTAACAGAGGAATCAGGTGGACTGGATGTTATTAATTAGAATAGTACGGCTGTGGTTTCCGAGTACTTTTTTATGCCTTCAATTTATTGCATTAATCAGGATTTTCAAAATTTTGATGAAAACAACGAGGAAGAAATTGCTCTGATTTTGCATTATTTGCTTGATCATGAGCAGGAGAGGTTTGTTAAACCGTTGGTCGATGAAATCACCACAATTAATGTTGGTACTGAAAAGGACACACGACTGGTCTAGATCGGGTCCACGTTGTCTTTGAAGGAGTTCGAGCGCTTAGTCGCTTTATTAAAAGATTTCAAAGATGTTTTCGCGTGGTCTTACGAAAACATGCCTGGAATCGATCCTGAGATTGTACAGCACCGGATCCCTCTTGACCTAGAGGCCCGAGCCGTTAAACAGAAACTCAGGAGGATCCACCCGGGCTGGGCTCTCAAGATTAAAGAAGAGGTCACCAAGCAAATTGATGTTCCTGCTGGTATCTGATTACCCAACTAGGCTGGCCAACATAGTTCCGGTGCCGAAGAAGGATGGCAAGATTCGGGTATGTGTGGATTTCAGGGATCTGAACAAAGCCAGTCCGAAGGACGACTTTCCTTTACCGCATATCGATGAGTTAGTGGACTTCACTGTTGGGCATGCACTACTTTCGTTCATGGATGGATTCTCAAGCTACAATCAGATATTGATGGCACCCGAAGACCGGGAGAAGACTGCCTTCACCACTCCGTGGGGGACATATTGTTACAGGGTGATGCCATTTGGGTTGAAGATTGCTGGAGCTACATATCAACGGGCTACATCCAAAATTTTGCACGACATGATCCATAAAGAGGTGGAGGTGTACGTGGACGACATGATTGTCAAGTCCAAGGAAAGAGAGGGCCACTACACCACCATGCAGAAATTCTTCCAACGGATCAGGGAATACCGGTTGTGGTTGAGTCCTCAGAAATGTACGTTCGGTGTTACAGTAGGGAAAATACTGGGGTTTTTGATCACATAGAGAGGTATCGAGGTCGATCCTTCCAAAATCAAGGCCATCTTAGAAATGCCACCACCGAGGACTGAAAATGAGGTGCGAAGCTTTCTAGGTAAAGTGCAATTCATAAGACGATTTATTTCTAAATTAACCTTGACTTGTAAACCACTCTTTGGTCTCCTAAAGAAAGGAACGAAGTTCTAATGGGACGACCGATGCCAAGTTGCTTTTGAACAGATCAAGCAACACTTACAGAACCCACCTGTGTTGTCACCACTCGAACCGAGGAAACTGTTGATTTTGTACCTTTCAGTAACTGAAACTACAATGGGCTGCATGCTCGCATAGGAGTCTGAGGACAAAGTGGAAAACGCTGTCTACTACCTGAGCAAGAGGATGATGGATTACGAGTCCTGCGACACTCCACTCGAGAAGGCTTGTTTAGCCTTGGTATGGGCTACCAGGAAGCTACGACACTACCTGTTAGCTCACTCTGTAATGTTCGTTTCAAGATAAGATCCCATCAAATATCTCTTCGAGAAACCAGCACTTACGGGTAGGCTACCCCGTTGGTTGCTTCTGCTTTCCGAATTCGATCTGAAGTATGTGACTCACAAGTCAGTAAAGATGAGAGCGGTAGTGGAGTTCCTAGCCGATCACCCAGTTGAGGGGGATGAAGCAGTTGAGTACTTATTCCCAGACGAGGCTATTTTGCATATTGAAGATGAGTTTTGGACGATGTATTTTGACGGAGCGTCAAACCAGCACTGGTATGGGATAGGGGTGTTGCTAATAGCACTCGACAATTCCCGTATCCCTCTAGCATTTAAACTCCGGCTCAAACTCTCGAACAACGAAGCAGAGTATGAAGCATGCATTGCTAGTTTAGAAGCCACCCTAGAACTAGGGGCAAAACGGTTGGACATCATCGGGGACTCGAACCTTGTTGTATCTCAAGCTAAAGGAGATTGGAAAGTCAAAGAAGAAAAGATGAGAATTTACCACCAGGCCTTGGACTTACTGATTCCTCGGTTTGAGAAACTAAACTTTGCTCATCTATTAAGAGAGAACAACAGGTTCGTAGATTCACTAGCAACTCTATCTTCTATGATAGGCATCCCTTTTGGAGTCTGGATGCGTCCAATCATTATTGACCAGAAATTTGTGCCGGCCTACGAGTTGATTGCTGCCATATATAAGGTTCAAGATGAGAATCCCTGGTATTATGATGTCTAGAACTTCTTGGAAAAAGAGGCGTATCCACCAGGGGCAAATGCCAAGGATAAGAGGGCAATTAGAAGAATGTTTGTTCAGTTCATCATCTGCAGAGGTAAACTATACAAGAGAGGTCATCTGGGAATGCATAAGCTGTGTGTTGATGCTGAAGAATCGAAGCGCCTGATGGAGGCCATCCATGGAGGGGAGTGCGGAGCGCACATGAACGGGGTGATGCTAGCTCGGAAGATCCTTAGACAGGGTTACTACTGGTCCACCATGGAGAAGGATTGTATTGGCTTTGTCCGGCGATGCCACCAATGTCAGATCCATGCAAACCGCATGAATATTCCGCCGTCGAAGCTGTACAACATGACTTCACCATGGCCATTTTCAGTCTGGGGGATTGATGTGATCGGGGCTGTTACTCCGAAGGGTTCCAATAGGCATGAGTTCATTCTGGTCGTAATAGATTATTTCACGAAGTGGGTTGAGGCGCAATCTTATACGGTGTTGAAGGCTTCGCATGTTGCAAAGTTTATCAGAAACAACATCATCAGTCGCTACGGGGTCCCGAACGAGATCATTTCAGATAATAGTTCCCACTTCAAGAAGGAAGTGATCGACTTGTTGGACAAATACAACGTGACATTTCATAAGTCGTCTACGTATCGGCCATAGACCAACGGAGCAGTTGAGGCCGCCAACAAGAACATCAAAAAAAATTTGCCGTGTCCCAGCCGTGTTCATGTCCCCATTTTTTTAAAAATGTCGTGTCCCGTATCCGTGTCCGTATGCGTGTCCGTGCTTCATAGAACATGATGAAGTTCATGAAGTAAGTGATGATGATGCTATGGATCAAAACATGGATGCTCGAAGGGATTTTGATCATGACTTTGAAGATGCTACTACTGGTGAAGACATTGAGGACTTGGATGGCACCGGGGGTGGTGATGATGATGACGGTGATGATGTGGCAATGATGAATGTTAATTGTGGCAATAATGATGATAATTTCAGCGACAATGATGGCTTATTGTAGTTTTTGTTTGTTCTTCCTTTATTTAGTTTGTTTTGTTTTCATTAAGAAACAATGACAATGGTGTGCAAGTGTTAGTATTTGGTTTTATTATGTTTTTGACTTCTTTTTTTGAAAAAAAATGTTTGAATGCTACATTGAATTGCTATATTTCTTTTTTTGTTAGGCTTATTCTATATATATATATATATATATATTGATGGTATTATTTAGTCATATAAGAATTATTGCATTTTTTTATCATTTTAGTAGGATCTTACGATCCTCGATCCGATCCGACAGACCCCTAAAACGATCCTGTGTAGGATCCCGATCTTAACAACCTTGCTTATTAGTGGCTTAACAACTTTTTTGGGGCTTGAAACACTCATTCATTGAATTGTGTATTCTATATATATATATATATATATATAGAGAGAGAGAGAGAGAGAGAGAACCTGAGCATGAAAGAAAAGTCCTATTTTTTACAAAATTGCAATTAGGAAACTATGGTAGTACATATTATATCATTATATGTATGTATATATAGAAGAAGAAGAAGAGACGTATATATAGAACCTATAACATATATATAGAACTTGATACATATATGATATATATACATATATATAGAATTTGAGACATTTTGGGCCTTTGGTCAGACTCCGCATTCGTCTTCCCTGTCGTTGGTCTGCCGTCGTTCACTGGTCCTCTGTTCGTCTTCCCTCATTCTACTTCCAGTCCTCTTTTGGTTTTTGTTTTGGGACTTTTGGGGGGTTAGGTCTTTGAAAAGAGAAGAAGTAGAGAAGAAAGAGAAGTTGCTGCTGAAAAAAAGAAAAAAAAATGGCAAAACGAGGCAAATTGACTTCGTTTTCCTTGCACTGCAGGATGCTCTGTAGGAAAACCCTACAGAGGATCTGGACTCCCCAACAACCCCCCTTACCATCCACTTTCCTAAATCACACACCACTATCCCCACTCACCATCCACTTTCCTAATCACACACCACCATCAACACTTACCATCCATTTTCCTAATCACACACCACCATCACCACTCACCATCCACCTCGATTATACATTGTCTCCTACCTCCATTATCAATTGTCTTCCACCATTGTCTTTCACTTTTCCACTAAGAAAACCTTCTTCAATTGCCTATATAAGAAGACCATTAGAACTATGAATAAGGTGGTGAAAAATTTTGATTTGAGAGAGGTCTAAGCTTTGATCAAAGAAAGAGTTTGTTTTGTCAAAATTGAGAGAAAATACAAATCAAGATATAAACCTCCATTTTCTTACCTTTCACTAATATATATTGATATACCACTGTTCAAATCCACCTACTCTCCACCTACTTCACCCACTTAAACCTACTCCACTAAACCTAACCCACTACACCACTACCACCTCACCTACTCCACTAAACCTAACCCACTACACAACTACCACCTCCACTTCACCTACTCATTACCTACTACACACTCACCCTCTCCTATATATAGGAATCATTGTAACCATAACATAAATATCAATCAATAATACAATTCTCTATTTCTCTTTATACATTAAATTTCTACAGTTTACACAAATTTAAGGTACTTCTAGTGTGGAGTAATCTCCTCGGATGTTGCTGCCCGTTCCTCGAAAACGACCCAACATGCGTTCTTAAACCGTTTCTAGCATTGGGACTTGAACGGTCAGCCTGCATTGTCTGGAAGTAATATGATGAGCTGGCCATGTCCTTGAGGTTTGGCAGAGGCTTTAACGCTTCGACAACTTCACTCATCAGAGGTCGGGCTTTTGGGTCCCGGCTAAGGCAGCGAGCAGCCAACTGTGCGGCTTTTTGGGCACCTTTTATCGAGAAGTGGCCTTCGAGCCGGGGGTCTATCAGTCTGTAAAACTTTCTTCTCTCTCCTAGGTGTGGCCTCGCCCACTCCACTTAAGTATTGTTTGTCCATTGAGTTATTGTCGTAATGTAATGTAAGAAGATCGGAATGATTCTTTTTTTATTTTTTTTGTGTTGCAAGATTCAATTTATTGAGGAATGAATGAAGAAATTAACAAGGGGGTTATTTATAGAGTTTTTCTATGGAAGGTTTGGAGAACAAGTAACAAAATAGTATGTATGAATTGTCTAGGGATGACCAAAAAAGGAATATGCAACATTCACAAGAATTAAAAAAATGTGAGGTGTCTTACTATTTTTGGTGAATTGTGGTCTTGGGACATATTTTGTAATATATTTAGGCAACAAGACTGTAGTTTCAAATCAGTTAATATTTTTGATTGTTGTGACCAAGTCTTTGTTGTATTTTTAGTTAAAATATTTCAAAATACAACATACGAAATTAATTTAGTTATAATTGTAAATTTTATAATGAATTTTCTTCAATTGGAAATCATATTTGTCCATTAGTATTGAATTAGGGAT